CCCGGGCGGCGCAAGACTCCGGTCCGGAATCAGCCTCTCGAGCCCCCGCGGCCGGAAATCGTCCTCGTCCCAGAAATCGACCTTGACCGGCATCTTGGCCGCCAAGAACTCATCCACCTTGCCCTGGATCGGCTCCTTCCATTTCCCATCAATGAGGCCCTGGAACTCGCATGATGCCGAGTCCGGGAAATGCGACGCCTTGAGCTCGTCGAAGCCCTCGACTTCCTTCTCGAGGAGGTGCCGTACCGCTGCGCCGAGGACGTGTCCTGCTGTGTGGAGGCGGGAGTACAGCAGTCTCTTCTCGACGTCGATGGCTTGCTCTACCTCGTCGCCCTCTTTAAATACCGCGTCTCCGTTGAAACGTCCGAAATGTAGGACTTGGCCGTCGCGTACGGCGTCCATGCGTACAGAGTTGACGGCGAAGAAGGAGCCTGCGGTGGCGGTCATGGAGCCGATGTCGGAGGGCTGGCCGCCGCCTTGGGGGTGGAAGATTGTTTGTTCCGTCACGACTACGTGATCTTGGTCGCTTCCATCTTTGAAGAGCCCGCGATTGGCTTCTTCGAGGTCTGCAAAGGGGCGGATGGCGGTGACGATGGTCTTGAGAGTGATGAGTTTTGCGTTGTGCTGGAAGGCCAGGTATGTTCTGGCTGCTGCTGTCGATGCCATCGTTGTGTCTGTGTCTGAATCTATGTATGAGGCCTTTCTGTTCCGAAGGCGATCTGGGAATGAAACTTTATGAGACGATTTCAACGTCTGGAAAAGCGCCTATGATAGCTCTATAGGACTGGTGAGTAGTTGGGGTATCTCTTCTTGGCTGTTCTAACCGGTTCTACAGCCGGCGGGTTGACATGAAGGGCGCGAGTGATGATGAAATGTGGTCCGAAAGGCACTTTGGTAACATGAGATGGGGCCTCGGAGCGGCGCGTGCACGCTCTTTCAAAGGAATTGACAGGGATTGATTTTCTCATCCCCCTAAGAGGGGCTTTAAGAGCCGCCGTCCACTTAACCTCTTTAAATATTGAGTCAGGTTATCAACTGATTGTAGATCAAGTAGAACCAACACAAGCTTTGCTGATGAGAAGTGGACGAGCAAACCGGGCACACACTGTACTCATACTCCAGCATAACCCTTGCGTGGTAATTTCTTTGTACATTTCGGCGGTCGCCGCACCCACGCAGGAAGACGCCAGAGGTAGTGGCGAAGCACTTTATCCTTGCATCCGGCTGCTAATTAACCTTTGAGTTGCTGACTTCGAGTGGTTAGATGAGACCTGGATGTTTTCAGCGTAAGCGGCATGAGCAGCAGTCTGATTTTGCCCCAGGAAACGCCTTCACAGCTCAGGCCCCTTGACAATCTACTTACGCGTGATGCCCATTTAACAATCGCACCAACTGAGCCATGCTAGAATCAGGCAACTATGCACAAAGCCTAGGTAGCTAAAAACGTTTCTTGTGTGAGTGAAAGCTATGCGCTGTGGAACAGAGTTATAGATGAATGTAGCTCATACTTTCGGAAATCCTGCCCTGCATAAAGATCTTGGAGCGTTGCAAATGTAGTTCGGCGCGTCACTAGCATCTGGCCCGGCTGGAGGCGGATCGATCACAGAGGATTGCGACAACACTTCATTCGCTACAAAAACTATCTCAATGAATCTCTTGATCATGAATTTCCCTGAGAATTGAATGAAACATTGACAGTTCGAACTTCCAGCCTGTTACAATCCGTATACGTGTTGTTGGTTCAAACCATTTTTAAGCTACTCAGCCATGATTGCCTCCTTTCGATGCCTTAGATGCCTTCGATGCCTTCGATGCCTTCGAATTGGCGGATTCGACTGAATGCCACGAGTTCAGGGAATTCTTACCGTTTTCACCTATGTCGCCTCTGTCCATACGCAGGTGATTCAAATCGTGCTGATAGTCATTCTCTTTACTATTGACTTCGCCTCGTGATGCCCTTGAGCCTGGGAGATTTGGCGCATTTCGCTGTTTTTCTTTTAGCTCCTTGCTCTGCTGGGAGCGGTGAGAGTTTAAGGAGTCCTGGCAACCTGTACCACATTGTTTGGCATTGGCTCTGTCGAGGTTGTTAATGTATTTTGCGTCGTCTGGTCGTAGTTGATCTCTATGAAACTTCTTGTCGTCGGCCTTTAATTCAGCTTTCGTCGGCTTCTTGTTTGCTCTTGGGACGATTGAGAGATCATTGTTGGGAGAGACGTGAGTGATCTCCTTGTCATAGTGCTGGATGGGCAACCCGGCATCTTCGGTGTCTAAGCCGAGGACATCAACCACAGCCTCATCCCTAGTTTGAAGGTCGGGCTGATCTGTGACCAACATATCAGAATCAGTTGGAAAGGTCTTGAGGCTTCTTCAGCTTTACCTTCTTCCCCTACTTTGATTTTGATATTGTTCGTGTGCATGCCATTTCTGAATGATGGCGCCGAGGCGTAGGAGAGATCGGAGGAGACGACGATGGGATGTGCGGCTAGAGAGGCTGCAAGGGTCTCTAAGAGGACGATAATGACGAAGTACATGTTGTGCAACTGGCTTTTACCTGGTCGTAGGATAAGAATGTAAGGCAGCGGAGTGCTAAGGTGACTTGCAGAGATAAAGGATCAACACGATGTCTTCAAGTGGGCTTAATGCTGCTTAAATTTGTTACGCAGAACTTTCTTTCAGTTTGGGAAAAGATAGCTTCCAGTTGTGGCATGACTCGCTCTCATTCGAGCGTGGAAAGTATCGACTCAAAGAACAGTTAAACATCCGGTTAAGATTTATATTAGCGCCGATATTGAGTTAAGCTAGAGCTTTTGTGTTGTTCCTTACTAGATAGAGTTAAGCAATAGAAGTGAGGCTAACATGCGGCATTTCTAACGAGCGATACTTGCTAAACTAGAATTTTTAGAAAGGAAACTAATTTTCTAGCAAGCTTTCAGGGCAGTTGTGGTTGCGAGACTGGTCTGCGCTTTTCGAGATCGAAGCCTTGAGGGATGAGCTGTTTGAGAAATCCATAGAAGTTAAGATAGGCAAATTACCCCTCTCCAACCCATGGTTCACCAATGATCCTCGTTAACTCAATTCTTCGCAGTACACGTACGCTCCTAAGCAGTCGGCACCTTAAAATTCAGAAAATCCCTGCCCTCACTCCGCACGCCATCAATACCATCACAGACGAGCGAAGACACACCGCGTGAAGTGTGACGCGGCCGGCAACTTTGTAAATGGCCAGATAACGAGCCGATAAATCGCACTGTGTGCTCCTCGATGATATTTTGGAGCTTAGATGTCGCTGTGGCGGGATGTTTGGATGTACTGGGAAGAGTGTGCGCTTAGATCTGCGATTTGAACCTCATACTTTCACCACGTCGCAAATAGGGACAGGATATTAAACTTATGCCTGTCTACAGATTCGTAAGTGCACCTGGAACTCTTGATCGGCCGTCGAAAACCGGCCGTCGAAAATTCAGATCAGTATTTAGGCTCGAAATTTTACTTTAAGCCTTACAAGCCTCATGATATAAGCTGTGGGCTTCTGATTCTTGCATGATGCTGAGTTTACGCGCACTTTTGCGGAAATGCCCCTAACAATGGCTGCTTCCCAAATACTGCATTTCAATGTATGCACCTAGTAAGGTCTCTGAAGCCCAAATGTCGCTGGTTCAATTCCAGTCACCGGCACACAAGATCCTTGGTTCATGAATCTGTGGCAAGTAAAGGGAGGCGGAAAATCTGGCCGAAGCTTAATGGGAGAGTGGCAGAAAGATTGAGACGATCATGATGCCGACCACCTCACCAATAACAACACCCTTGGTGAAGAATCCGACATGATTGTTCTTTTGGCTACATTCGTAACATGATCACCAAGCGACCCAATCTTACTCCGGCAGGACCTCACACGGACTGAATACAACGGCAAGCCCACCGTAGTACTGGCTGCAGCATACTTTAGGCAGAAGAGGAAACGCCGGAAACGTGAGAGCGGTGGATATCAAACTGGAGGACGACCAGAGATTTTGTTAAAGCGCCCAATCCCGTCTCGACGGAAATCGCGGATTTAGAACGAAAATCCACACCCACGGCCCCATTGATGGGGAGAAAAGAGGAAAGTTCGGGCATTCAATGACTTGAGTCCAATCTAACGGTACAGGGCTGCTCAAAGACCCTTTCAAAGGCGGGCACTAATCACTTTTGCTGGTGGACGTGACACAGCTGACCCAGCTTTGGTGTCCAATTGCCGGTGTTGGCCTTGCTGGTAGAAGCTACTGGAATGTTCTCAGTCAGCTTGAGCTCCTTCCTGATCATCACCGGCTTCGCATTTCCATGGAATGACCCATGACTGACTGTTGAGCCAGAATAAACCAGGAAGCAGATCATGATGGCCACACGTAGTTGGTCGAGCCAAGAATTGCCGCGGAGGCAGAGCGACAGGTTCCTTCAAGATTTGTGACCCCTTCCAGAGGAAGAGAAAGACACGCTCCGCCGATAAGCCCATGTATGTGCTTCCATATTCTACATCATCGAATCGCTTAACGCCCGAGTGACGTATGATTTGGTTTCGCGGAAAGGCGCGGGCTTGGATACGCAAGTTCAATCGAAAGAGGAAATTGGATCTCAAACTACATGTACGTCTCAGCATGCGGAACTCATAATAAGATCAGGTTGATGCTTCGATGCTGAGAGTGGTCCTGTGTTTCTGTTCCACAACACATGTGGCCAACTTTTCATCGGCATGGGCCGAGTACAGCATTTGTTCCACCATCCAGGAAGTGGCTCATGAACCAAGGCACGACCGCCCTGAGTACATATACTGCAGACGATGCCCGAGCATACTATTCACCACTATTGCCAGGAATCTCACAAGCACGTTCACCGCAAGAAAACGGCCATTAAAATGCCACAATCCAAACGGACAGTACAATCAGATTAAGGTAATGTTGTCTTCCCAAGTATTAAGCCTCACCAACGTTGACATTTCTTAAGTTTGGGCTAGTCTCATCACAAATATGAGTTACCTCCCCGGGCTTTTGACCTTACATCATTCCCTCCTGGCCTCGGATACAAATTACCCCTTCATCGCTCTTCACACAGACTGCTTTCCCGAGGAGGGCCGCGCCGCCATTGCTGCCAGAGGGATCCCCCTCCAACGGGTTCCACGGCTAAGCCCTTCGAACACAAGAGACTACTCAAGCGAGCCACGTTTTGAAGACACATGGATCAAACTGACCGTCTTCTCTCTCACCGCGTACAGCCGAGTCGTCCTCCTAGACTGCGACATGCTCGTGCGCAAGAACATGGACGAGTTGATGCTGCTGCCACTGAATCCCGCCGGCACCACCATCACTACCGGCACAAAGGTCTTCGCTGCCGGTCACGCGTGCACCTGCAACCCCCTCCAGCGTGCACCTGCAACCCCCTCCAGAAGCCTCACTACCCGGCCAGCTGGGTCCCGGCCAATTGTCCGTTTACGTCTCACCACGCCGACCCTGATGCAGCCCAGACCAACGGCAAGGATCTTACTCAGCAGCCACTTGGGCTTCTAAACAGCGGTCTTCTCGTCGTGATCCCCTCCAAAGGTCAGTACGAGGCGATAGTAGACTGTGTCAAGACCGCACCTGCAGAGTGGGTATTCCCTGACCAGGACCTCCTCGCCAATCTGTTTCGTGGACGATGGGTGGTGTTGCCCTACGTTTACAACGCACTGAAGACGCTGAGATGGAACGGCGTGCACGATGCTATTTGGAGGGACAAGGAGGTCAAGAACATTCACTACATCCTTAGCCCCAAACCTTGGGCTGATCGTGAATGTGATACATCGGATCACGACGAGTCCCATCAGTGGTGGTGGGCGGCGGACAGGAAGCGCAGGGCACGGGAGGAAGCCGATGGGATTTCTGATGGGTATTGAAACATGCAAAAGAATAATTAATTGGAATTTTTGTGTATGCCATTGACAATAGATTCATATTATGGTCCTTCACAGATCTTCCACGCTGCGGATGGTGCTACGTAATCGGATACCTATGCAACCCGAACACAGACTAAGAAATGCCAGTACGTGAAAACACTAGGAAACTACATGGATACCTTGCAAGTGAACGGCATATGACTTTCTTCAACAGACACCAGGAGCCTTGATAGACAAACGATCCCTAGGTATCCTTATTGTTTACTCAGTGAGCCAATGGGCGGTGGCCCCAAGTACTCAAATGTTGTACGCCTGAGTCAATCATCTCTGTTTCTCTAGGTAGTTACGAGAAGAAAAGTTTTTACTACTGTAGCTTGCTTGACCTATTGTAAGGCCTTTGGTTAGGTGCCGCAGTGTTCACATAATACGCCCAAGGTGTGTTCTGGGTTACTGGGTTTGAGTTAGACATCTACTTAAGTAGCCAAGCACTTGCTGCTGGCCTTCTTGATCACACGTGTGGTAACTACCCCTATTACTTGGGAAGGTTCTAGCGTTTCTGATCGCGAAACAGCCGTAAATTTGACAAGTGGTCCTCTGTATGGAATAGGCTTGGCGCACGCCAAGTCATTTCTTGTCGCTGTAAGCTTGTATGTCTTGTCCGTAGCTATCGTCAGCTCCCTCGGTGTTCTTATCGGATCAGCTGTATTTACTTGTCTAAGCGCGGTCGGATTTCGCCCCACCGTTGCGGAACGCAACCAGATTTTCCAATGCCAGACGCAGCCAAGCCAAGGCTGGTGCCGTATAACTGAAAACACTTAAATACCAGTGATTATAAGTGCCTTTCTCTTAATATTTGAAAAATAAACTCCTCTATCCGATGTGAACTTCAAAATGGGGTATTGATCACGCCGGTAGAGATCTCTGGACAGTAAACTGGAGTCGGCGCTCGTAATAAAATTTAGAAATTAGCCTGAAGTCAACAAGGTGCTAAACAACAAAGATGGCGTCAAGAAATGGTATTCCTCTGTTGCCACACAACTACCATAATCTTTGCTTCAAGACCAGAGAATCTTTGTGGTTTTCACTTGCCGCTGTCGGGTTTAATGACGGTTGAAATGCGATCGGTCTGAAATTCTTCACCCCATACACCCCTACGTTGCTGACTCAGAGGGGTCGTCCAGATTGGGCTTGTGAGTGGTTGCGGCAAAGTCTTTATGCGCCATATCAACCGCCAAGATCAAAAGAAGCGAGGCTTTTCCCGCCTTCAAACGGTCGAGAATGGATGCTAAATGCATCCGTTAGTCGATGCGAGTGTAAAGAAGCACACTCTAAGTGGATTTAAGCTTCATCTCCGCTGGCTGTCAGCAATGCCACCGGAAGAACTACCTACAGTCGGTCTCGGTTTGACAGAAGCTTCAAGCACGGACCGGCATCCGGCAACCGGCCGCTACAGGGGGTTATTTCAGAAGCTTGCATCCGTACTCCATTATAGCCGGCCTTTTTCCTCGTGGGGGAACAGGAGAAAGATTTAGGCGCAAATCTCGGCCGTTCGCCGAAGACATGCCGCTTCGATCCTTGGCGACTGGCAACCGCGCGGTCAGTTGTAGTCAGATCTCCAGACGGTAGTCTCCATGCCTACCTTGGAACCTGTAAACCTTGTCAATTCTAAAGCAGCAATGGTAATTAAAAACTTAGACAGCAGCTTCCGAATCGCGTCTGATGGACTGCATGTTGGTACGCTCCTTCAGCTCGGTCTCTCCGTCCCCAATGCCTTTACCTGGTACAAGAATCGCGATAGATCACTGATCTTTGCGGCTGCGAGTCTTTGACACAACCTCAGAGTAGCGAGGCCGGCAATGAGGCCCTGGAAGACATATTGATAATAATGAGGAATACGTCATCCTAGGTGACGATAGCATTGGCGGCCTATAGCTGACTTCGGTATATCGCCCGGCTTGGTGCGCTAGTCTTGCAACTTCGGACCAGTTGGTGACGCGGTCTGTTAGGGTTACATCGCGGCCATTGTTCAATCGTCAATGTTGCCAATGCTCGTTTCTTTTTTTCTCAAAAAAATTCCCCGCTAGAGTGGAGCTGATGTCGGATGAACTATGGATTTACTGCGAGCTATGTAGTTGTGCTTCATGAAACAGGTTGCCGAAATGGAAATGTGATATTTTTTCTTGCACGTAAGGTAAGCAATGGTGAAGTCTAAACTTTCCTAAAGCACCTCGCGTACGCTTTAACTCTGCTATCAAGAATGGCTCGGGACTGTTAACCTATTAAAATCTTACAAAAGCATAGGTCAGCATAATATGTAGTAAGGAGGAGGAAAGGGGGCGGAAGGGGTGAGCCTGGCAGGGGCGGAGCGGGGCGGATATGGGTCCGTGTTTGTCATGAAATGCGCGTATCCGCGGGGATGCCGTTCACAGCATGGACGAGGTAAGTAGGTCTTCAAAAGGCCTCCAGTGATTATTGAGTTGTAAAGTAAGAATAATAGCAATGTTCGTGTGGCAACTTCCCTTTGGAGAAACGCTCCTATCTAAGACGGAGCCTGATCATTGCCCTGGATTGGAAAATGCTAGATCTTGATTACTGATATCCCCGAAAAAAACATTGTGTCCAGCGATATCCGTACTTTGTAGGAACATCGATGCCCCTGCATGTTCTTCGTGGAGACCACGGATATACTTAGTTAGAGTACGGCCCGATCATGGCCCACTACAAAAGGTGTGCTTGCATGCCTTCGGATGTACCCGTGGCCGCGGGAGAGGATCTCAGGCACCGCCTCCACGAAGAAAAGCTTAAAAGCCAAGAGTCGAAACGGAGTATGATATGACTCGCTCTACGTGCTCGAAGAACAGATATCGGAGGGATGACAAAGCTGACCGTGAAGATTAGATTAAGTTGTTCAGGGGTAAGGTAGTTATCACAACAGAGAATTGACCAGCGGACGGAGTGCGGCAAGTGCCACAGATTGCAACATCTTGAACCCACTCCGAGAACGCAATCTCCGCCACGGTGGCGGAGTACGTTCTTATTTTTAATGGTATGCCCGGACGTTAGCCGCGGTCAGTTTGACATCTTATGGTTATTGCGGCATGTTGACCAACCACCAGGTCACCTACCTACCTACACCAGAACTGCATGAGGGTTCCAATGTGTAAAGTAGACAAGGTTGCTCTAGTAGCAGTCCACACTTTCTCAACCAACATGACGAACCACATGTTGATTTCACCAGGAACATTGGGCCCACAACCTTGTGCTTGCCATATCGATCTAAACCTGAGCCGCACTAGTCTATACTCAGCATCGGACTACGCGTCCTAGACTTTAGATCAGGACAGCGACTCGTGTAATGTAGCATTCTAAGTGATGGAATAACATCCCCAGAAGGCCTTATCTCTGTCCCCTAGTGGAATGCAGCTAGAAGCGCGGGTAAGGAGATGTGCCTCGGTGGGGGTAATGGATGCTCTACCTTATGCAGCACGGGGGTCTCGGTCGGCCTTAACCGACTTGGCGTATTGCGCCATGCTCAGGTACGCAACCACAGCAAGTTCGAATGGAGGCTGACTGCCGGGCAGCTTATTCTTGGCCAGAAATGATCCAGGTAAACTGAATGCCTCCATAAAGTCTGTATACTAGGTAGAATCTGGTCTAGATAAATAGATGTTCATCTGTCCCAAGAAGTGGATGTCTCTTTTCCGGGCAAGTTCACAGTCTTTACTACGATTGCCACTAAGTAATTATCACTCGTTCTTTTACTACAAGTCATTCTCTACAGTCACTCTTTTTTATCTCTTTAAAGTTAGAAGATATTCGCCCACTAGCAAAGATGCCCTCCCTCTTGTCCACAGCCATCACCATTCTGGCTGCCTCTCAGGGGGTTCTAGCAGCCTGCACTAATCCTTCCGTCCGCAAATCTTGGTTGGTGCCGCCCTCTTCACCTGAGAGAACGAGGCTATGGAGAGGAAGTTCGCTAACACGAATCCAACAGGTCCGCCCTGACTGACGATGAGAAGACCTCGTACATTAGCGCGACCCTTTGCTTGATGGACCCTGCCCAGGCTCCTGCCAAGACCGGGTATGCTGGCTCCACGACTCGCTGGGAAGAACTCCAGGCTGCCCACGTCTCTCAGGCTCAGTTTGTTCACTCTGTCGTAAGTGTTAAGGCCCATTAAGCGTCGAGTGAATTAGGCGAGTACACGATCAAAAACGAAGGCTAATGCAGAATTTGTTGTTTAGGGCGCCTTCTTCCCTTGGCACCGTTGGTACATGACAGTCCAGGAGAAGCTCCTCCGGGATGAGTGCGGCTACACTGGCCCCATGCCGTAAGTGACTCATTACAAGCCACTTCATCCCTTTTGCATTAAAGGCTCTTCTATGGGCTTGACATAGATGCATCATAACCATACCTGGGTGATACTGTTACTAACGAGTGGGCCACATACAGATACTGGGACGAACAGGCTGAGCAAGCCGTCCTGCCCTTGGAGAACGCGAGCATCCTGAACGCCAGCGCCACGGCCGGCTTTGGCTCCGCTTCCCTTGACGCGAACGGCTGCGTTGTTGATGGACCCTACACCAATGTCAGACTGACTCTCGACACCGAGCTCAACCGTGTTGCCCCTGTCTGCCTGAGCCGTGACTTCAAGCAGAAGGAGTACGATCAGGTCGCTCAGAAGATTATCGATGCATGCATGGCTCTGGAGGACTATGTGAACCTGAACAACTGCTTGGGTGCCTCCCCTCACACTGGTGGCCACTACGCCATCGGCGGTACTGTAAGCAACTGCTCCATTCTCACAATGCGCACCTTTTCTGCCATGAGACTAATGGCATCCCTCAGATGGACGACCCCTCGCTCTCACCCGGCGACCCGCTCTTTTTCCTCCACCACACCAACCTGGACCGTCTCTGGTGGCAGTGGCAGGCTCAGAACGAGTCCCGTCTGACTGATATTGGCGGTAATAACGTCGCTCAGGGATTCTTCTGGTCTAGCGTGCAGCCCTCCTCCCTCGGTGTCAACGCATTCCTTCCCTACTTCAATGACAATGGCAATGAGACCACGCTCAACCATGTCATGTTGATGGCTGGTATTGCCGAGAACATCACCATTGCTGAGGTTATGGACATCAAGAGCGATGCCATCTGCATCGAGTACCAGTGAGATTACACGTAGTGAGGTCTGTATCGAGAGCAACTTGTCTTAGCTTCTCGTTTGGAGTTAGACTCTAATTAGACAGGTTCTATGGAGGTGTTGATGAGAGAATTGCGATAGTTTCCGCTTTGGGCTGAGCGAAAATTGCATCTACATTTAATATGGGCGGATGGATATTATATAGACTGCGTTGCTTCAATGGAAAATTCTTATACCCAATTCCCATGCCAGACTATTATTACTGCTGAACTTTCGTTCTTTGATCGGTTGATCCTTAGAGGCTTTCGCCTGCTTTCGACCCTTGCGAGAGGAAAGAATCCAAGAATATTCATGGCGAGTGTCTCACGGCGGACATCCGTACCATGAGATGTTCCCCATGTCATAAACGCTGTACGTAACGATAAGGTATTATAAGAGTGATCAAGTACAATGGAGACAGGATTCCGGAATTCCCAAGCTTAAGTGTGATTATGCGATTGTTTGAGGCAGATCCTAGATAATAACCAACAATGACAGAACTTGCTTCTCAAGTCTTGTTGACATGAACGATAATCTTCCCCGTTGTACGTCCTTCCCTAAGCTTCGCATATGCTCTTGGTGCGTCGCGCCACTCAAATTTTTCATCAATCAACACTCGTACTTTTCCCTCTACTATCAACCTGCTAATTGAGCTCAGATCCTCTTGGCTCGGCGTTACCCTCACGGATTGAAACTTCCTCTTACCACTACTGAAGAAACCTGGCAACAGGCTTCTCCGCAACATACCTACCATCGACTTTGACATACCAACCTGCACGAACACTCCCTCTGACTTGAGGAAATGCGAGCAGCTTTCGTACAAGCCCTCTGTGCTGCCAACATTGTCTACAGCGATATCGAAAACACTCCCCTTTCTCTTGAGTTCGGTAACAACGTTGAGTTTGCGGTAGTCGATAACTTCATCAGCCCCGAGACGTTTGCAAAGATCGACCTTTGCCGTCGAACAAGATGCGACCACATAGGCACCGGCAGCCTTTGCGAACTGGATAGTGAAGGAACCAACACCGCCACTTCCACCGTTGATAAAGACTTTAGACCCTGGCTTCAACGACTCTTTTGGAAGAGATTGAAACGCCGTCAACCCAGCGGTGCCTATAGCAGCTGCATCGTCGTGGTCGACGCCCATAGGGAGCGGCGCAATGTTGGAGGAGGGAGCGACGAGGAGCTGACCCAGACTACCAAACCGCGGGAGCTTGGTCCCGATGCTCAAGGCCCCGAAGACAACCTGACCCTCGGAGAATCCGTCGGCACCGTTTTTGGAACGGATTCGGCCACAAAAGTCTGAGCCTGGACTGGTGTCCGGCTGGAGCATGAACTTGCCAAAGACTGGGATCTCGGGCAGCTTGTACTCAACGGGGTTGATGCCCGCTGAGATGACTTCGATGAGGACATGGTCTTTGGAGAGCGATGATGCATCTGGTGGGATCGCGTTTTCGTTGAGAGTGAGGGAGTTTTCTAGTGTCTCCTTGATGGAGCTGTATTGCCAAGCTTGTATCTTCACTGGCAGAATCGAAGGGAGGTGTGCGGCGGAAGTTGTGCGTTATAACTTGGTTTCAAGTCAGATAACCCTGCAGGGAACGTAAAAAGGTAATGCTTGAGAGAAAGTCTTAACAGAAGATTGAAGATCGTCAACCAGCCTCAAGTGCCAGGTATTAATTCATATATCATTGCAACTGATCTCGATACGGATGCTGTGAGCGTCAAAGGAAGTCCGCACCTAGTCCGTCGGATTACAGGGGTCATTTAAAGTTATCTCGGGTTCGGATTGACCCCTGGTTGGAAAGCTTGTTTGCAGGGGCCTCACACCCTCTGTGCCTGAACCACTAGACGAAATAGAATTGGGCATCTTTTGGTCTTCATGGACAACCGGCGGAGTTTTGAGAAAAGAGGAATGCGATTGATAGCTAGCTAAGAAACTGCCAACTTCCCCCGGCGAGTCTCCGACGAAGCGAGATCTACTTACTAATACCCCTGAAGGGAGGCTAAACCTCGTCAACACGCTTACTCCGACTTTATCTCCTCTACCAGCTAAGTGTGTTGGGGTGAAGAACCTCCATGTTATCAACGATGCCAAAGTCGCGAATGCCACCACCGGGCGTGTAGACACTTCCATTGTACGCAACAGCCGCCATGCCGTGACGAGGGGTGTTCATCGGCTGAAGCTTCTCCCAGGAGTTGGTGCGCGTGTCGTACACCTCCGTTTCGTTAAACACGAAACCAGCCTCCGGATCCAGATTTCCTTCGCCCCCAAAGGTGTAGATTCGTTGCCCGACAATAGCCACTGAGACACCACCTCGAGGGGTAGGCATTCGCGCTCGCTCGCTCCACTTGAGCGTCTTGAGATCGAGGACGTAAACTGTGTCGCGGACTGCCGTCTGGCTACGGAAACGGCCGCCGACGACGTAAAAGTTGTTTCCGATGACGCCACCCCCGGCGTGCTCGCGGCCTTCAGGTAGACTAGGTAATGGCTCCCATTCCTTTGTGATAAAATTGTAAGACGAGACAGTATCGACAGTCTCTTGGAGCCCATCTTCTCCGAGCTCGAGCAGACTGATGCCGCCGGCAACAATAATCCTATCGCCAGTGACACCAAGGATGGAACTGCCCCTCTCCGTGCCATTGGGCATGGGAGGGAGCTCAGTCCACGTGTTGGTCTCAGGATCATACTCGTAGCAGTTTGGAAGCGCGCGGAAGGCCGCACCGCCGGAGAGTCCGCCGAGAATGTAGATCTTGCCGTTGGCCGCAGCGGCATTGGCGTGGTTCATAGGGATCGGGAGGGGCGCGACGAAGGACCACTCGTCTTTGGGAACGTTGTACACCTCCACAGAGTCAATTGTGGAGACACCAGTCGGCTGGCTTGCGTCGGGTTCGATGCCGGCAACAACGTAGATACTATCGCCGAGAGCCACGGCGGCGTGCTCCTGGCGAGGACCGCCGACCAAGGGTTTGAGTACTTCCCACGTCTCGGTGGTTGCTAAGGTGCACTTGGAGGGCGCAGGGGCGGCAGCTGACTGTCCACTGAGGAGTGGCAGCAGAGCGAGACAAGAGGCGAGGTGCTTTGTCAACATGATGAAGTGATAAGGTAGAGATAGGTTCAATGTGGATAATTAAAATGTGATGTCTTCAAGTCAAGATGTCTGATGTGATGACGGTTTTGAAGAATGATCGAGATTAGCTCTCTGGCTTTATACAAATTCGTCACCCCTTCCCCTGGGTATCAACATCATGAAATCCAACTCATTTTCTCATCATATGGTCGTAACGAGCGCCAAGGTGCTCCATCAGGAGTGAATGGCTGTCTTCAGCAGCACAGCCTCAAGGAACTACAGCAGACATGGTATTATTGAGAGCGAAAAAGCTGGACTCCAAGCAAGATGATCAAATTACTGTGGTCTCGGGAACTTTGAACTGTCCGTGTGGCCGTAATGGAAGCCATGCGCAAAGAAGACTGCTGTCGTAGATGACATCTTGATGTAAGGTAAACCGCCTTTTGTTTCGGGTTCGGATTGATACTGATTCTTGGCAACGGAGCAATTTGTAAGTCTCCATGAATTGCCTCTCACGCCAGATTGCGCACGATGATTCCTATGTCTCTTGGTCTCTTAAGTCTAGTACTATCCATTTTCGACATTTGTAATCATACCGTGTCTTGATTTAGGCAACCAGCGGGGTACGAGGAACAAGGTACGTAAAGCTTCTATTTGAGAATATAGATGGCTATCAAGGTCATGGTAGGAAATGAAATCAGCTGATATACCTAAATCGAAGAATGACCACGGGTTGATTCGGTTCTCCGCCTCATTTAACACTCGTCAGAGGGATATCTCCGTTTTGACTAGCTAGCCTTGGGTTAACATAGTCTTCTGGCCACTTTATCTCATTGCGCCAACTTGGCGGAAGAGATCTAGTTATTGCGGCAAGCAGGTGACGTCCCCACGCTTTCATGAACCAAAATTGAGATCCCGCTGCATGAAGGACGGTACAATAATGCGCAAGAATGACTAAAGACGCAGGGTCTCTGACAACAAGTAAGGCCATGAAGTTTTCACGCAAAACCATGGGCCAAGACACGGCAACGTTCAACTCGGGAGTGATAGAAGATGCCCGTTCAATGCTATCCCGGAAGCCCGAGATTGTCTCGCTGATGACATTCTTAATCTCCGGACTAACGTTTTGCTGATCCAATCCACACTCGATTCGCGAGATGTTCTCTTGCAGCAATGTTAGTAACTCGTTGCCGCCTAGATACGGATTGCATTGCATGAAGTCCTTCAATATGCCATGTCGCACATTCTCCCTAGCCGAGGCCATGACACTGCTGACACCGCGGATGAGGGTAAAGACCTCCAAGATGTCATCAACTTCTAGTTGCCGGAAGGGACTATGAAGCGTTGGACCAGAGGCAGCGAAGGCGCCAATAAAGAGTAATGACGAAGCAGCGAAGAGAGCGTCGCAGTTCGCAGGCGTGACGTGCGAAATCTCAGCCTGAACTCCACGAATTGCATGGTGTTGGTGCTGTAACGCCAAAGATAGTTTCTCCTGACGCTGTTGTTGTTGCTGCATATGAGCTCGCGTGAAGAAAGATCCAAGTGGTTCCATGGTTGCGAGGTGAAAGGCGGAGACTGCGAGGATCTGATGCATGAGGTAGGGCGAGTCCGCTGCCACTGCCGGAACCTTATCGCGCCAGGTGTGAAGGTTGGCACCGGGTAAGGTTGCGGAGGTTACTGAGGTGAAGTGGTTCATCAAGCCGAGATCCATCATCCAGGGGTAGGCGTTTTCGGTCACGGGTCCGACGGGGAAGTCTGCCCCTAAAGAGGGCGGGGGTGTTTTCGATGAGGCTCCTCCTGGTGGGGTGCTCTTGGATGAGATGGTCGACGAGTCGTCTCCGTGGCCATCTAGAGCAGAGGCGCGGATTTGCGAGCCATCTTGAATTGAAGATGGCGCCAGGCTACACTCGATCTGTAGTCTGACGCATGCGCCACAAGGTCGATTCTCATCGCACTGAAGCTATGTTAGCCTTGGGTTGTCTTCTTGGTGGGAAGAGGTGGAACAAAGCGGAGACAAGACCATAGCCCGACGCACCTTGACCTTTCTCTGTTTACAGTTGGAACAACCGTTACGGGACTTTTTGTGTCCAATTCGCGGCATATTGGGCAGAGGCGAGGGACACAACTAACTGGGCCGGTTTCTTTCGATTATCGACTCGAGACTGCAGAGATAATGGACTGGGGCGCCCGAATCCGAAGCCGATCGACCGCTCATACATATTTATCTATCCTTAGTGTGCAGACTGGGTTGCGGAGATTTGATTTCTAAGAGCCGCGGACTTTCTAAGCTTAGACAGTGGGTGAATCAACACCCGCGACAAAACCTAGTCAGTGCTAAACTTACACGTATTCGACGCAAGGGCCACCAGTCATTCGAACATCAGCCAAGACTTAAGCCAAGAGATTGACAACTTCAAGACATGAGATATTAATATCGACAGAACAGCAAGCATAGCCTCAATGATGTTTACGAAGAGCCTGCGGGAAGAGATATCGATATCAGAAAAATCGTTGATAGGTCATCGAAGCCAAGGAAGGATATGCTACTAGCAACGCGATGTTTATATAACCATGAGGTGGAACATCATGCCAAATTTCCATTACTTTATCCAGGAAAATACCTATTATTGCAACAACTTCGGTTTCTCGTCAAAGACACCATAGAAGAGTGCTTCACTGTCTGAAAAAAAGTCTATACTTCATCTTCGAGGTCACCCAACCATGGACTCACCAACAGATAACAGCCCCGGCGAGTTCGTCTTCTACCACTACGACCCTTCTCTTCCGGCAGCATGCATCTTCATCGCCCTCTTCGGCATTTCATCCGCGCTGCACCTTTTTCAGATGATCAAACTGCGGGCCTGGTACTTTGTTCCCTTCTTGATTGGCTGCTGCTGTAAGTGACGCTTATCGACACAGATCCATGGCTCCATGGGCGCATCTTGCGATAGAAATACCTTTCACTTATTGATATTCCAATTTCACAGTTGAAATCGTGGGCTACATAGGCCGTGCATTATCCGCAACAGAAACCCCGAACTGGTCGACGACCTCGTACACGATCCAGAGCCTGACGCTCCTTCTCGGGCCCGCGCTCCTTGCTGCGTCTATCTACATGGTCCTGGGCCGTCTCATTCGCTTCCTTGAGGCCGAGCACCTGGCTTTGATCAGAACAAAGTGGTTGACCAAACTCTTCGTCTTAGGCGACGTGATTTCTTTCGTGACGCAGGGCGCAGGTGTGTTCCTCTCCATCTCTTTAATAAGAGACTTCAGACCCGCGGGTAGTCGGGCTAATACATACCTTGAATAGGCGGTGCAATCCTGTCTAGAGCAAAATCCCTATCCGACGTCGACCTTGGGGAGAACATCATTATCGCCGGCCTCGCAGTTCAAATCCTCTTCTTCGGAGGCTTTATCGTCGTCACCTGTCTCTTCCACTATCGCATCAACCAAAACCCCACTGATCCCTGCAACTCTGCCTCCTTGCGCTGGAGACCGTTCCTCTGGATTTTGTATGGCGCAAGTCTTCTGATCATGATCCGTTCGGTGTTCAGGGTTGCCGAGTACGTAACTGGTAGCAACGGAGCGCTGATGGCAAGCGAGGTGTACATTTACGTCTTCGATGCGGCGCTGATGTTCCTTGTTGCTGCCGTGTTTAATGTGTTCCATCCGGGTACCATTATACAGACAGAGAACAAGTTGACGGCCATCTCGGAGAGTAGCGTGCCTCTTGATTTGCAGACGTTTACTTAGGTGCTGTAGTTACCTGCTCCCTGGCGCTGAGCTTGGGTCAACGGCGGAGACCATGATACTGAACGCTCGTGAAAGCGGGGGATTTTCGTGGACATCGAGCGGTTCAGCAAAAACGTTCAGAATCTTAGCAATTGACATCACATGTGGGACTTGAGTTTGATAGACACGGATCATTACCTTCTACTTGGACCCTTGAACTGCAGTCTTGGGTTATTTTATGTTCATACAGTTTTCTCTCACGACCCGAAGAAGTCTCGTAGGCTCGTCAAGTCAACTCATTCCGTTTTGCTGTGTGGTTGCGGCACAGCAACAATCAGCCAGGGGTGGGTGGCTTACCCCTCAAGGACCATACACCTCATCGATTGTTCCTCGCCCTTTCAGCGTGTTTATCCGTGTCGACTCCAGCAAAGTCGTTCAAGATTGAAATTCCTCGTCCCAGAGACACCAGCACTCTAAATCCTCTCATCAGGGAAGCAATCCATCGAGTGACATATGTGAGCCTGACGCCATCTGGAAGTCCGTCTCTTCCCGATGTTATCGTCTGCTGACAGGGAAATCTTTTCGGGGGAGGATCACTATACGAGTGCCAATTAGGCTCCTTCAGGCAGGTGAACCGTCAGCCTAAAGCGCCGAGAAACATGCTTGGGGAACGTTAAGACCGGCTACTCCCGATTGTCCGGGGTCTCTGTCCCAGTCTTACAAGTTCGAGACTGCCCTGCTGCGAATCCTTCGCCAAAGGGGACTTTTGTCGGGTCGTCGCGGTCTCGCGGTGGTCAGTCATTCTTGGGCGCGACATCTTACTGTCGAATGTGGTGGACTATCAGCGAGGCGGTAAACGTCGAAGCAAATCGAGCCGCAATCGCTTCATAAGAATACTCAGCGACCGGCGATTCTGTCGCTTGAGCCTGCGATGAACTCTCTGATGTTCACACCATCCGCAACGACCATGGAGCTTAGACACAGCCAACAGGTCATCCCGAACGACGCATTTGCCTGTTCCGATGATTCACCGTGGAGCTCCGTGCTGTGCTATCAAGGCTATGACCTCAGTCCTCTCCTTGAGGAAATCATCTTCTCCATCATTCCTTGCTCAATCGCATTGGTTTCGGGGCTTCATCGTCGACACCAGCTCCAGGCTAGAGCAGTGGTCTCACATGGACACATCCGCCCAGTGGCTAACCTGGTTAGCCACATCGCTTTAAGCCTCCTTTTACTTTTGATTGCACCCGCCTCAATCGTCATCGTACCAATCGCTGTTTTTTTGACTTCTGGCATCGTCAGATATGCTGGGCAGCAGAGCGACGCGTGGATGGGCCAAGGGTCAGGTCTTCTCACGCTCAAACAGGCATGTTCCGATAGATCTGAGTTGGTAGAGTCGACGAGGCTAATTTACGGCAATAGGTCCTATGGCAGGCTCTCATGGCATTCCAAATCATCTTATTAATGAGAGCCGCCCTTGAAAGAGACCGTCAGAGTCAATTTAGTGTCAATCTTGCTTCTTGGATCTTGTCGGTTACGACGAGCATTCTCTTCACATTGCTATCGGATCAAGAGCACCGCAAATCACTCGCTCCATCAGCCCTCCTCCAGCTTTTCCTACTAATAACCATATTTCTCGACGCAGCTCGCGTGAGAACGGCTTGGCATCTATCACCACAAAATAACGAGGGATATATCGCCCTGCTCTTGACAGTCCAAGTCATCCTCAAGGTACTCTTACTCGCGGCCGAATCTGTGTCAAAGCCAGTCATCCTCGCCATACCTGCTCGTCGGGTCTCCCGAGAGGAGACATCGGGTATCTTTGGCAAGAGCTTCGCGACATGGGTCAACCCTCTGCTGCGGTTAGGGTGGAAGAGGAATCTCTTAGCAGAAGACCTTGATCCTCTTGATGGAGACCTTGATGGAGAAGCGGTGCTTGAGCGGCTTTCCTCAGCGTGGAAGAATGGTACGTAAATCTCCTCATCTCCTCATCTCCTCCTGATAATTGTGCTGCTTCTTGAGTGACACCTGGTACTAATTGATGATCCCATAGTCGACCAGGACAAGAATCACGCCTTAGTCATAGCGGTCCTCAAGGCCTTCCGAGCCGAGCTCCTCTTCATTCATATCCCGCGCATCGGTATGGTGGCTTTTGGTCTAGCACAGCCCCTTCTCGTGCAAACCACAATTGGGTACATCCAAAATCACAATGACGAGCCCATTACCTACGGCCAAACCCTCGTCGCTGCCTTTGCCATCACATACCTCGGCCTAGCTGTACGTGCCACTATTCCGAACTTTGGCCAGCTGAGAACATAGGACTAACCACACGCCTCTCGGATACTTACAGATCTCTACTAGATGGTCTGGCCAACTCACCCATCGCCTCATTACCCGCATCCGCGGCGCCCTCATTGCGATAATCTACCAGAACATGCTCACCCTCCGCGCGGAGACAGGTAATTCCCAAGCGGCAGTCGCGTTGATGAGCACCGAGGTTGAGCGGATCACGGTGGCGTCTCAGTGGTGCGTCGCCATCGTCCCTAATCTCATCCAGCTCGGGTTCGCCATGTGGATCATGAGCGAGCAGCTTGGGGCTGTGAGCGTTGCTCCTATCATCATTGCGCTTCGTAAGTCAATAATTTGCCGACAGCTCTGATATCTTGAACCTCGTGTTTGTCTAACAGATTTGACAGTCAGTGTGTCGGCCGGCATCAGAACGGGCCAGTTGATCCCGCCGCGGCAGAGGAGGTGGATGCAGGCGATCCAGAAGCGTGTTGGCATCACCACAGAAGTCATCGGCTCAATTAAGGGCGTCAAGATGAGCGGCCTGACTAGTACAGTCCAGGACCAGATTCAAGGTCTCCGAGACTTCGAGCTGGATGAGTCCAAGAGGTTCAGAAGAGTGCAGATTCTCAACGTTCTCATCGGTAAGTTAGGCAATCCGTTACCCCTGGGCGGCGGCATGTCTAAAACTACATGTACCAGGTCAATTTCCATCAATCATGACTCCGTCTATTACCTTCGCCGCCTTTGGCATCATCTCAAAGTTATCCGGCGGTCAGCCGCTCAACATAGTCCAGGCTTTTACATCACTCAGTCTCCTCGGTATCCTGATCAACCCCGTCTCCGAGCTAGTCATGATCCCAAACAACCTCGGAGCCGCCATCGGATGCATAGACAGAATCCAGGAGTACCTCGTCAAAGAGAAGCGGGTGGATTATCGCCTCTTCAAGTCAAACCCCTCTCCAGCCACCGCGGCGCAGGGAAGCAACGGAAATAGCGAGCCGTCGCAAACCGACAGCCAGGCCCGACCCCTGATCAAAGTCTCGAACGGTTCCTTCGGCTGGCACAAAGACCAAGCCATTC